GATGGTTTTTTCCACTTACCGACAAGCCTGCTGGCGGTCACCGTGCTATCTTGTCGCTGGCTAGCTGTGTGCGGGTATGGGAACGATTGCGACGCCCGCAGCTAGACCCCTTTTCTGCCCTTTTCTGCCTCAACCGAGAGAGCGTGCTGGGCCTTCGCTGCAGTCAAGAGCGCAGAGTCCTGCGCCTGGGCTCAGGCTGCCGTCTCCGAGGTTGCATCGTCTCAAGATCTGGTCTTCATGGGGGCCCAGTGGGGCGGTGAGAATTATCGCGGGTCTTTCGATCTGGATCTTTTGCGGGCTCGGACCTATCAGTGGGCAGTTCCAATGGTAATAGTCAAGACGATGTTCAACCTCTGGTGATCTCCTCGGCCTGCACGCTTGGGCGCGTCTTTTCATCCCGTGGCGCTGTTTGCCACGGGTGGCCCGCCAGCTGGCGACATCTTTAACGACGCTTTTGTTAAGATGTATGCCATCTGTGCTTTTGACAACTTTATGTGCTGATGGCAGGATTCGTCGATCCGCTGATCGTCGCAGGTCGAAACTGACACGGCCAGGGGTGTAGATGGTAGGCAAACACTTCTTCGAGTCGTACCCGATGCCGCAGCTGATGTTCAGGATATATGTAAGCATGATCTTCGAGCCCAGATGTAGGAGTCGAAAGTTGTCGCGGTCGCGAGCAGCCCGTCGTTAGCAGCAGCCTTAGCCGTTTAAGTTCGTCGTCGTGATCTCCCCGCAGGCTCCGTCACGAATGCGTCGCTCAATGTGGGGGTAGATTTCGCTCCTGGGCAAGCTAGGGGCGCTCCGAAGGCCCTTCGAACGACGTGAAGGGTTTCTAGTTTTCACGCTTCGGCATTCTCGAGTTTTCCGTTTCCGCAGGTGATTGAATCGCGGAGAGCACCGAATGGTTATCATCCACTCTGCTGGTCTGAAACCAGCGCTAGCATACGGCAGTGCAGCGCTGGGCATGTCAGATCATAAACTTAAGCGAGCTCGAGCTGCGCTTTTAAGTTTTCGTGCAGCGGCGCATCGAGGAGCTTCTTTGGTGTCCAAGTGTGCGCTTCATTGCGATCCCATGGCTGATGCAAGTGCGGCGCCAGCTATGATGTGGGCGAGGTCTGCATGGAAGGCCGCTGTTGCACCGGAACGCGCGTCGTTCGCGATACAGGGGCTGGCACGAATGTCTGCCGCGATTGATCGCAAGCTCGATGACAATAGCACATGGCATCGATACAGGGGGCCGATTACTCGCATGGCCCTCTGTTTGTAGCGCATAGGATGGCGGCCTAAGAATGTTGGGGAGAGGATCGATGATCGAGGAGTTGAGTTGTCTTTGCTATACACATCTCCTACTATGATGAGCTCTCTACTCCGCGAAGGTGTGCAGCGTAAACACGAGCGCGACATGTACATGTTAGTCAGTGGCACGAACGAGCGAAGTGATAAGCGTGCATGTGCTGACCTTGTGCGTGTATTCGTGTGCATCAGTAAGAAGGTTCACTCCCTTCAGTCTTCGCCAAGGATGTATCTACTAATGGTAGGTTGTGCAAGGCTGGATTTGATGTCGATTCACAGTGTCCTTTGCGCGGCGCAGCAGGCAGCTTTCACCGCAGACACTGGTGTTGTCAGTGCCCTGAAGTTAGAGAGGCGAGAGAGGAGATGGTGTTTGAGGATGTGATTCGTGAGGCGCGCGAGGCCGGTGTGTCTGAGCTGCTGTGGGCTAGGCTTGTCCTCTTGCACCCCTCGTGTGTCCTCCCTCCTCCTGCTGACAAGCTGTATCCTGAGCTTCTGGACCCGCGCGGGCAGCCCTTGATTCAGGTTTCGGTCCTTGCGGGGGCTTCGGACGCCGTGGTCGACGGTTTGTGCGCTCGTTCCCCGATTCGAGAGTTGTCAAGGGCCACCTATGCAGGAGTGTTTCTTGCCCCTGACTGGGAGGAGGTCGTGGCTCGCTTTCGTGGGCCCGTCTGGCCAAGCCTCCTACATACCCCCCAGGCAGGAGAGCAGATGGCGGTGCGTGCCCTAGCCATCCTTCTTCGTAGGATAATGGCCGTGCACTCTGATTGTCTAGGCGTGGTTAGGCTTCACAACCAGACCGTGGCACAGCAGGTGCGTGGCAAGTATAAGCATGCTGGACTGCGTCGTGGATTCTTACCGTGTGAAGGCGCGCAGTATGTAGGTGTTGCTAGCCACGCTAAGGCCCATCGCAGTACAGATGAAATCGATGCGTTGCCCGACGACGGGCGTAGGATTGCGCGCGGAAGCTTCATAGCCGATGAGTGCGCTAAAGACGCGATTTCCATGCATCCCCCAACGGGATCCTGCTGTTTTGGCTGATGTTGACACCCTGGTTGTGAAGGCCCGAGCCGTGGCCCGTGTGATCGGGGCTGTCTTACCCCAGTTACGGCTTGCTGGGTTCCCTTAAAAAGCAGACGGTCCAGAGGCCTAGGCGCATGGGCGCTGATCGTTGGCACGCTTGTGGACGGTTGTGCCTGGCGCGCCTGGCACATCCATATGTCATGATTGCCATAAGCGCGTGTGCAACACTATTGTTGTACGTCCCGACATGTGTGGGTGTCCTGGTAAGCGTGCTAGCTCTAAGTTGTTGCATGCTGGTTCACAGCTTGGTCCTGACCTTGTCTTTACTAGACTATCGTCTGGACCATCTCTCGTGTTCTGCCGACGCTGCGGTGCTTACAGCCAGGATCGCCGCAGTGGTCTCTTCGAGAAGCGATGCCGCAACTGTCCCGTGTCGTCTGTCTCTCGCTGTCGACTCGGCCGTATGCTCAGGGGTCTGCATCCACAGTCGAATCGAGCCCCAGGCGTTGTGCTCCACATCTTAAGTGCTGTGGAAGGAGCGACTGCTTGTCGCACAGCAGCCTCAGCAGCGGGCGGTCTACCTCCGCCCGTCGGAGACGGGCCTGCTGCCAGGCCCGGAGGCCATGCGGCAGCGCGTGGCCGCCCGCGAGGAAGAGGCTCGAGGCTTTTAAAACGGATGTATGTTCTATCCCCTGGGGGAAAAGAAAAAACAATTCTTCCTCCTCCTCCTCCTCCTCCTCCTCCTCCTCCTCCTCCTCCTCCTCCTCGATTGCTCAGGACATTGAGGCCGCCACCACTGGCCCAGAGGGCGAACGCGTCGGCCTTGGCCTCACGGAGCATGGGGGCGCCCCGCCCCCCCCCCCTTTCTACCCATCCACGGCTCTGTTGGGCGACCGCGACATCAAGGACTACGCGCCGGTCGTTGAAAGTAGGTATTTTTGGATTCCCAGATCCCAATCTACTTCAAGCGCCTTCCATTTTCAAGAATCGACACGCTTTTGCTGCGTTTTGTTATTCTCTGGGGGGGCCTGGACCCAATCAACTTTACCCGCCGTCCTACTTCATGTTTTTTGTGCCTACTTCAACCGACCGACGTGTACGAGGACAAGTGTTTCTCGATACGTGCCACATACATTGAACCCGCATAGCAAAGATGGGCATCCCTCCCAAGGGTACCCTTGCATCCTTGCCTCCTCGGTCCATCCTTCGTTGCTTTCGCTGGCCGCGCCCCGCTCGAAACGCTTCGAAATGGGCGTCCAGGGCTCTTGCATCCTTATCGCGCATGCTTACTATCCGGGTTGACTGCAGGCGGCGTGCCCGCTGAGGCTCCCTCTGGCTCCGGCCCTCGCGCAGCACCAGCAGCCATGCGCGCGACGCCGTCCAGGTGCAGGTCGTGTGCGCTGAAGCCCAGGACGTGAGCACCGTCGCCCCGAGCACGTTTATCCGAGGCGGGAATCTGTACATGACCACCGCCTGGAGGGTCAGTCTTCGGAGCTTCGGCAGACGGTGGATGTGGACATATCCGGGCCCGCTGGGGCACCAGGATGTCGGTTCCCAGGCAGTGGATATGGATAAGTCCCCGCCTCGCAGTCTACCAACATGATCTCGGGATCGCAGCTGTTCGAAGAAGCGAACACCGTGATGTGTTCTTCTCTGCCTGGCCGTCTCGGCACATTGGGCGAGACGCTCATGCGGATTCCCGTGGATGACCAGAACACGCGCGTTCCGGTTGTTCTGCCCGAGCTCTTGGCACGATGATATCGGCAGGGGCGGACCGCGCTCCTCGTCGGAAGGGTTCCTGGGCGACATGCAGGTCGTCCTCCAAGGCGTTCTCCATGAGTTCGCGGGCATGGCGCGCTTGGAGGGTGGGATGCTGGACCTACATGATTTGCAGTCTCGCGTTGACGACGACGAATGGTGGCTTCTCCTGTTCGTCGGAGCTCCGATGCGAAAGTCTTGAGGATGGCGGTGAGGAGTTCACATAGGTGTCATGTCTCGCCCTTGCCCTTCCCTGGCTGCCCTCTCGGCTCTGCGTTTTGGGCTCGCGTTCCCTTGGGTTTCGGGCTTGGCACTTACGCTTGTTTAGCTACGCGTAGTCGTCCTTGGAAGTGTCTTCTGTAAGTTGCGCAGTAGTTTGAGCATTCACACTTGTATGATGCGCCCACGATACTGTCTGGACTTGTTTCTTTCCCTGTTTCCCACCTTGAACAGAGCACTGCTTGCTCCAAGCTTCCTGATTTCCCTTCTGCGTCCTTGCGGGGCTGCGAACTACAAAGCTGTCGCCATGTTCGTGGGCTCCTCGGAGGCTCAGCGCAGTGAGGACATACGCGCAACCAGACTAGACCATTCGGTTGCATTGGGATGGTACCACCTGCGCAACTGTCGCCACTCTTCGTTGGGTGCTGGGAGGCTCATCGCAGTAGGGACGTACGCGCATCCAGACGAGACCTCTGGTTCCCTGAGTGGTCTACCACCTGCGCAATCGTCGCCAATTTCGTAGGCTGGTGGGAAGCCCATCGCACTAGGGACATGCGCGCATCCCTGCGGGCTGCCACGCCCCTCTCGTGGGCTCTTGGCATGCCCAGCGCAGTGGGGACAGACGCCCATCCAGACTAGACCTCGCGGTTCCCTGTGCGCAAGTGTTGCCGCGTTCGCCAGCTGGTGGATGAGCAGAAACGGCGGGAAGATGAGCAGGAGAAGGAAGCGCCTAACCAGGGGGTCGGGCTCGTGCACGAGTCGAGGGCAGGACGCGGAGGGGTGTCGGCAGCGCCGCCGCCGCTGGACGGGTCAGGAATCGCGGCGTGGGCAGGCCCTGCGGCCGCGCACGGCGCCACATCGCGCGGCGGGGCAGCTCAAACCACACGGATGGTGAGACCCACGGATTGTGAGACCTTTTACTTTTTGAGTCTCATTCCCTCATTCCTCCCTCCTTACCTCCTCCTCCTCCTCCTTCCCTCCTCCTCCTCCTCCTCCTCCTCCTCCTCCTCCTCCTCCTCCTCCGCTTCTTCCTCCACCTCCTCCTCCTCCTCCTCCTCCTCCTCCTCTCTCCCTCCTCCTCCTGCTCTCCTCCTCCTCCTCCTCTTTGTGCTCATCCTCCTCCTACTCCTTTTCCCCGTCCCTCCTCCTCCTCCTCCTCCTCCTCCTCCTCCTCCTCCTCCTCCTCCTTCCCCCTCCTGCTCCTCCTCAAACCGTGGATTCGAGGTCCTCCTTCAAGGCAGTCGCAGTCCAAACCTCAATTTCCACGTGGTGCCTGAGGGTCCCACAGGTGTTGCCCACTGCGGTGGCCATGTGGGGCGAATCGACCATGGGCCTGGGAGGAACGAAGTCAGGGATGGGCAACCCAGACGTCTATTCTCTTTGTCCGAGTTCTTGTCAGTTCGAGTAGAGCCCCATGCTTTTTCAGCGAGATTGTGTATGCAATTTCAGGGCATGGCTTCTTCTTCATAAATTCCAGCAGGAGAAACAGGCAAAGGGAGGCGTCCGAGGACAGGATAGTCGTGCAGCGAACAAGGGTCTGGCTTTCCTGCCCCAAGCCAGGTCCCGCCAGCTCCCGTCATGCAGAAATGTACCTCGCACTTGTCGGTCGTCGAACAGACTCATTCAACTACTGAGGACCCGACTGTCGAGCTTGTGCTAGCGTCGCCGATCGCCTAGGTGCGAGTTGAGCAGCAGTGCGCGGTTAGTTTGTCCAGCCTCTCTCCCGAGGAAGCGAGCAAGGGAGACTGGAGCCGCTCGAGATGCGACGATGAGGCGCGATCAGGCCGTTCAGACGCCGCTCATCACAACCAGGTTCAACTCAGCCATATCTGGATGCGCTCGGACACAAGATGCTCGCTCTCGTCGAGGACGATGAGGGTGATGGGGGCGTCGGCAGCGGAGAGTTTCATCTCGCTGCAATTGGATTGGGCTCTCTTCGCGCGCCTGAGTTCCATGGAAGACACCGAGCCGCCAGAGCGCAGTGGGCCCCAGATGATCGAGGAGCTGCTCCGCGGGGTCCAGGGCCAGGTCGACACAAACGCCACAGAGGTTCAGGCTTGGTTCGAGAAGAAGCAGGAGATTCAGCATCGCATCAAGCGCCGGATGGCTGGGAAGAGGCGCGAAAGCCCCACAGGTCAGAGCGCCGCTCCGCCGCTCCAGTCGGTGCCCCTGCACTTGCGGCAGCTTCGTCGGCAGCGACAGAGTCAAGGGGTTGACTCCTGGTACAGCGGATGCAGCACCGGCCGGAGGGGGAATTCAGATCGCACCTGAAGCCCGAAGGGTGAGCATCGTCAAGGTTCCGGCAGCGTTGGCAGCGGATAGTGCCCAGTCCAAAAGTTGCAGGCTTGGGCAATTCTGTGGCAGACGCAGGATTCATGATATACACAGGTCGCCGAAACGGAACCGCCCATCGTCTCGGCGGTCGACCAACAGGGCATCCGCGAGCTTTAGGAGATCATGGGAGAAAGTGGACAGCTTCGGCGACGCGCGCGAGATCGACGATGATCGTTCTGAGTGCATCTGATTCTAGTAGTATCCCAGCTCTCGGGCTCATCTGGAGTACCAGGAAGCATGCGCTTCTTTTCGTTCGCGACCTCCAAGGGAGGGGGTCCAGCGGGAGCGCGCAGGTGCTCAGTGGCGAGGGCCAACTCTCTCATGCTGGTAACGGTGACCTCCTCGACCCAGTAGACCGGGGTCCGCGGAGGGGGGGGACGCCGCCTGAGGTTCAGAAGGCGCTGATCACGACGCAGCAGTTGAGAGTCCTCATCGCCGCGGGCCACCCGTGCAACGGATAGTCCCGACCGTGGTTCCCGAAGCACAAGTAGGTTCTGGAGGCCCAGCCGACCCCGTATCGTTCCCTTCTGTATTCCGGATTCCGAGTGGCGTCACCATCGAGCTCAATCTCCTCCTTATTCTCTTTTCCTCTCCTTCTTCTGCTATTCCTCCTCCTCCTCCTCCTCATCCTCCTCCTCCATCCGTTTCCCCCTGCCCTCTCTTGTGGGGGGGCGCTTCCCGCGACCCGTGTGGGTTTTGCCGCCGAGCGCCGCGCCACGAGAGGGGGCGCGACAAGACGGCTTTCGGATGGACGGCCGTGGAGCGGCGGCGGTGTGGCCGCGCCGCGCTTCCCATGATGGCGGAGGAGAGGTCGCCGAGAGGAAGGGAGCCACACCAACATCAGCTTCGGAAGTCCGCGGACGGTCTCCCCGCCGACGGCGGCGCGCTTTCGCCGCTGCCCCCCTGGCGCGGCTGCTCGCGCCAGGGAGGAGTGCAGGGAGGGAGCCCCGCGCCGGCGGAGAGATCGTCCACGGGTGTCCGAAGCTTAGGTGGTCGGAGGCGACGATGGGGGAGAATGGCCCAGGGGTGGGCGTTATACGTATTCGCTCGGGAGCCTCGCCGAAGGCATGGACCATCGGCGCCCCTCGATACATGTATTGGACTCCCCTGGGCCATTTGCCCCCGCCGTCGTCCTCGATGTGAGTGCTGGCCCTCCGGCCCTCCAGGTCGAGGGCGTGGGCTCCCCGGTCCACTTCTCGGAGAGCAGGTTCCTGCAGCGGCTGCTGTGCCAGGCCCGGCAGGGCAGCGGCCTGGGCGACCCCGCGGGCGGCGAGTGCCACGACCGGGCCCTCGCCAGCCTGGAGGCCATGGGCTTCGACCGCGAGGTGGCGCAGGTGGCCCTGCACGTCTCGCGCGGCCGCGAGGACCAGGCCCTGCAGCTCTGCATGGCCGGCCTGTCGTTCGTGGGCGCCAGCGGCGAGGGCGCGCTGTGCGACCGCGCGCCGCCAGCGCCTCTCCGGTGCTACGTCTGCGGCCTGGGCCACCTGTCTCGATGGTCCTCAGGGCGCGTCTTAGCACATGTGTGTGTGGAGGAGGAGGAGGAGGAGGAGGAGGTGGAGTGAGGAGTGAGGAGTGAGGAGTGAGGAGTGAGGAGTGTGTGTACGTATATGTGTATGTGTTTATGTACGTGTACGTGTACGTGTACGTGTACGTGTACGTGTGCGTGTGCGTGTACGTGTACGTGTACGTGTACGTGTACGTGTACGTGTACGTGTACGTGTACGTGTGCGTGTGCGTATGTGTGTGCGTGTGTGTGTGTGTGCGCCTCATCGCCAGCGCAGTCACTTTGCCTAGAGGACAACGCAAAAAGTGTGTGTGTGCGTGTGTGCGTGTGTTCGTGTGCGTGTGTGTGTGTGTGCGTGTGTGTGTGTGTGCGTGTGTGCGTGCGTGCGTGCGTGCGTACGTGGGTGGTGGGGGGTGGGGGTGGGGGTGGGGGTGGGGGTGGGGGTGGGGTGGGTGTTTGTTTGTCTTTGTGTTTGCGTGTGCTTATGCTTGTGATTGTGTTTGTGCTTGTTATTGTGCTTGTGCTTGTGCTTGAGCTTGTGCTTGTGCTTGTGCTTGTGTTTGTGGTTGTGTGTGTTTGTGCTTGTGTTTGTGTATGTGTGTGTGTTTGTGTTTGTGTGTGTTTGTGTGTGTGTTTGTGTGGGTGTGTGGGTGTGCAGGTGTGTAGGTGTGTGTGTGCGTGCGTGCGTGCGTGTGTTTGTGTGTTTGTGTGTTTGTGTGTTTGTGTGTTTGTGTGTTTGTGTGTTTGTGTGTTTGTGTGTTTGTGTGTTTGTGTGTTTGTGTGGGTGTGTGTTTGTGTGGGTGTGTGGGTGTGTGGGTGTGTGGGTGTGTAGGTGTGTGGGTGTGTGGGTTTGTGTGTGTGTGTGTTTGTGTTTGTGAGTGTGTGTGTGTGTGTCTGTGTTTGTGTGTGTTGTGTTGTGTCGTGTTGTGATGTGTTGTGTTGTGCTGTGCTGTGCTGTGTTGTGTTGTGCTGTGCTGTGTTGTGTTGTGTTGTGTTGTGTTGTGTTGTGTTGTGTTGTGTTGTGTTGTGTTGTGCTTACGTTTACCCACGTCGGCTCCGCCGAGAGCGCGCAGCCTGTGTTGGCCCCCGTGCGCCGCCTGCGCCGCATCGAAGGGCTTCGGTGGACAAGCGCGCGTTGGCGCTGACGTGCGTTCTGGGGGCCGTCGGCTGTCGCGCAGCTCGCTGGACTGCCACCTGCGGAGCTGCCGCCGCCGCTTCGAGCAGCGCGAGGCGCGCAGGCCCGCCGGCGAGCGGCGCGCGCTGCTCGGCGAGGAGGAGCTGGCGCCCGGCGCCCAGACGATCGAGGAGCACTACCTGCGGCTGGCCTGGCCGGAGCCGGCGGGCTCGGGCGGCGGAGCGCGGCCGTCGGGCTCGGCAGGGGGCGCGGGCAGGGCGGCCTCCGCGGGCGCGGCGGCGGGGCCGCAGAGGGCGCCCGTGCAGCTGCTGCCGTGCGAGTTCTGCGCGCGGACCTTCCTGCCGGGGCGGCTGGAGGCCCACCAGAAGGCCTGCGTCCAGCGGCCGAGGCACGTGGCCCCGGCGCCCTCGCCCGCCGCGAGGTCCCCCGCGCCGGCGTCGCCCGCCGCCGTGCGAGCGTTCAGGTCCTTCTGCGAGCAGCTGGAGCGGTGCCCAGGCTGCCAGAGGCAGTTCAGGCCCGAGGTGCTGAGGTCCCACCGCGAGCGCTGCCCGCCCTGCCAGCGTCCGCCGGGGGCGCGCCCGTCGCAGCTGGTGCGCAGCACGGGGCGCCGCCACTCCCAGCCGGTGCCCGCGGCCGCGCCGCGCGCGTCCTTCGCGCCGCCCGCCCGCGGCGCGCCCGCGCCGAAGGCCAGCACGCCCGATGCAGAGGTCTGCACCTCTGAGGCGCTGCTGGGAAAGGGCCTGCTTCGAGCATGGATCCACTACAGTCGGCCCAGATTGGCAGGGCGACCCTGCCGAATCAGGGGTACCCTTGTGTCCTGTGTCTCGCGACCCATGATTCCTGCATTCCTGTGGCAATGTGGCCTTCGGAAGGGTCTTGTGTCCTCGAGTCCGACTGTGCATAATTGACTTGCCCCATGCGAGACGTGCGTAGAACCCATGGGAGACATGCGTAGAACAGTCAGCAGACCTCTGGAGCACTGTAAGGATGTTTCGCAGAGATCGACGGGCATGTCCCTCTACAGGAGGAGTGCCCAAGAAGAGTCCAGAAATAGTCAGGTGACGATTCTTGGCGCTCTTCTTATCGTACAACAGGCTGTCTGCTTTTCTGTGAAGCTCCGCCCGTATGAGGCCATGTCCCACCTAACGCCAGATGCAGAGGTCTGCACCTCCGAGGCGCTGCTGGCAAAGGGCCTGCTGCTGGCCGCGGGGGAGGAGGACGCCGCGGCGCTGCGAGCGGAGCTGGAGCTGAGCCTCCCCGGCGCCGAGTTCGTGAGCGCCTTCCAGGTGGCGGGCCCCGCGGTGAGCAGCGGCGTGTACGAGGCCCTGCGGGCGAGCATGCAGGACTGCGGCGGCGGGGGGCCGCCCGCAGAGCGCGAGCTGTGGCACGGCACGGCGTGGGCCGCGGTGCCGAAGATCCAGGGGAACAAAAAGTGGCATAAGCATAAAAACTCGGAGGTCCGCGCGGATTTCTCGGATCGGCGCTGGGGCCCCCCGGCGGCGCCTCCGGCGCCGCCCCTGGCGCGCGGAGCGCGCCAGGGAGGGGGGTTCCGGCGCCGATCCGAGAAATCCGCGCGGTCCTCCGAGGCTGTATGTCTACGTCACTGTTTGCTCCCCTGAGATCCTGCGCGGGGGCTACAACCGCAGCTTCGCGGGGCGCCACGGCACCCTGCTGGGGGTGGCCACCTACTTTTCCACCGACCTGGCGTACTCCCAGCGCTTCTGCGACCGCGCAGGCCGCGGGCGGCCCGCTGCCAGGAGGTGGGTCGGTTGGGACGGCGGTGGCGATGAGGAGGAGGAGGAGGAGGAGGAGGAGGAGGAGGAGGAGGAGGAGGAGGAGGAGGAGGGGGAGGGGGAGGAGGAGGGGGAGGAGGAGGAGGAGGGGAGAGGAGGAGGAGGAGGAGGAGGAGGAGGAGGAGGAGGAGGAGAGGAGAAGTCGAGGAGGTGGAGGAGGTGGAGGAAGAGAGGAGGAGGAGGTGGTGGAGGAGAGGAGGAAGAGGAGGAGGAGGAGTTGGAGGAGGAGGAGGAGGAGGAGGAGGAGGAGGAGGAGGAGGAGGAGGGGGAGGGGGAGGAGGAGGGGGAGGAGGAGGGGGAGGAGGAGGGGGAGACGGAGGAGGAGGAGGAGGAGGAGGAGGAGGAGGAGGAGGAGGAGGAGGAGGAGGAGTCGAGGAGGTGGAGGAAGAGGAGGAGGAGGAGGTGGAGGAGGAGGAGGAAGAGGAGGAGGAGGAGTTGGAGGAGGAGGAGGAGGAGGAGGAGGAGGAGGAGGAGGAGGAGGAGGAGGAGGAGGAGGAGTTGGAGGAGGAGGAGTCGCGAGCCCATAGGACGACGCGCTGAGTACGATTCGGGAAGGGCAGGAGCGGTGGGAAAAGACGAGCGAGCGCAATCGAGCACAGAAAACCAGCGGGCCCCAGGGCACTGTTGGCCCAGCCGAAGCATCACGGCAGTGACAGGAGGTCCCACGAAAAGAGCCCAGAATCGGCCAAGCCGAACTCCCAGGACACAAAACGAGTTTCGAAGGAAAACTCGAGACATATGTATTAGATGGATAACATGCCTAGCCACTGGACAGCATCGTCCGTGACCAACAGCCTGCGAGGGAGAGGGGGAGAGGGGGGGAACGGCCTCCCTTAGGGTGGACGCCCTTCATACTCTTCATAAAATTATCCCTCCTCCACTTACGCTGGGAATTCCCCTCAAGGGCAGCCTCGGGATCACAAGTCCAGAAGAGCTGTGTGCGTGCCGATCTGGCCGAGAATGCCCCACACTTACTACATCACACAGCGTCCCGAGAAGTATACAAGCATGCCCTCTCGCCGAATAGGGCGGGACCTCCCCCGTCCTCGGCAGGGGCTGCATGGGAATGTCCGTGTCCGCTAGCGATGGCGGGGTGCCTCTCGCGGCCCGCTTCACGCCTCTCAGGCCTGGGCAGCTCGGTGGGGCCCCCCAGGGCCGATCGCTCCATGCCACGAGACCTGGTGGCCCTCTCGGTCTCCAGGTCCCCGTCCCTCGGACGCTTCCTCGGCCCCAGGACCTCAGGCTCCCAAGAGCCACAGGCCAGGTCGGGTCGGGTCTGGCAGCGGCCCCGACGGAGCCGCTCCAGACCCGCCAGGGGGCGAGCGGAGCGGGGGCAGTGGGCACATCGCCAGCCGTGCTGGCCACGAACAGGGACGTGTCTTCCCCTCACGTTGGCCTCCTCTCGAGGCTTGATCAGTCGCGCGGCTGTGCCGCCGCCTTTAGGAGCTGCGCCCGCGCCGCGACGGCTGGCAGCGCGGCCGCGGCGCCCCAGGGTAGCCGCCTTGTCCGCTGGCCTCGCCTCCAGGTTGGCCTGGCCGTTGCCAATCCAGGCCGCCACCTGGCGCAATTCCTCCAGGAGCTCGGCGTGGCGCTCGAGGACGGCCGTGGGCACCCCGTGGATCGCCAGGCCCTTCTTCGCCGCCATGTCCGCGCAGTCGTTGCCGATCTTGTCGGGCGATTCGCCCGACTCCGAGCTTGTCTGGTGGCCCTTGATCCATGTGATGCTGAGGTCTGAGCTTCGGCCGCCATGGTCCTCCAGCGCGTGCCACAGCTGGCGCCACAGGTCCACGTTCTCCTTGCGCGGGTGCGTGGTGTGCCTTTTTTCCCCTGCTCGAGACCTTCCACGATGCCCAAGCGGTCCGTCTTGATCTTCATAGGGGGCCTGGCCATGCTTCAGCGCCTGGATGATCACGTACAGCTCGCCTCGCTGCGCCGTCTGCTGGGGGCCAGGCAGCGGCCCGCATGCCATGCCAAGTAGCCGCTGCCCATTCATCACCGCGATGCCCCAGCCCGCTCGATTCGCTTCTGGCCAGTGAAGTGGACACCTGGCCGATCCATCGGTGAAGATATCCCCCGTGATGGTCATGTAGTAGTACCAAGCCTGGGTGTCCACCCTCGTCGGCAGCACAGGGAGGGCCGCCCGCGGCAGGAGCCCTCTCGTGTAGAATAGGTCGTTGGGCGTTGCCTGCAATGCGCGCCTCATGAGATCATCAGCCACAGTTTCCACGCGCATGTCCTGCAGGTTCGGACAGCACCACAGTCGATGATGTAGATGTCCGCAGCAGTCCTGGCAGTAGCAGCAGTTGGGGTCCTCCGCGTAGCCAACCGAGTAGAGCCTCTGCTGGGTCCATTGAGCCCCAATGACTGTCGACCTCAATGCCCCTCGGGCACGCATGCTCAGGTTCCACTTGGAGGCATCTGGATCTGCATGGATCATGGCCGCGATGGGCTCAATCCAGTAGCCACGCGGATCCCTAGGTGGAGGAGGTAGCTATGGTGTATGATCTCGGCGGTTGGACCATTCTTCCCGTTTCATGCTGCGGTAATTGCGTCGTGCCATGACAAGTATCCAGCTCGGTGAAGTGTCCATCAGATCCATCGTCACGCCGTTTCCTGTCGTCCAGCTCCTCGCCGAGTGGGCGCGCCATCCCAGTCGTCGAAGAAGCAGATGTACTGCGCCAGCTGGGCCAGAAACTTGTCAACAGGTGCTGCTGCTGGAGATCGCTCTGGCCTGAAGGTCCTAAGCCTTCTCTAGGATGTTGAACGGCACCTGGCAATCGTATACCATCTGGGCCCACGTGTAGAGTGGCTCCGTCATGGCCATGTTCTCGGCCATCAGGTTCGTGGCCTCCTCAAACAGCGACGCCAGCCATGTCGACGATGCCGTCGGGGTCTTGGCCCAGCCTGTGCGCACTACGTTCGTCATCGTGGCCAGCGTGGATGGCGGGGCCCCGGCCACTTGCATGCCGCGCGCCATGCCGGGCGCCAGAGCGGGTCGCGCCACTCGTCTGGCGATCCGCGCCAGTCCTCGGAGTCTGAAACCTGGGACGCGCTCCTTGACCTCGCGCGCCCGCTTGGGGATCGCCGAGTAGGTGAGACGACCGCCCGCGCGACATTCCAGTCCCAAGACGGCGAGCTGCCGCGCCGCCTCGAAGCCGAAAACGCGGAGTCGTCGCGCCACTTGCTCAGCCAGCCACTTCGAGGAGCTTAGGATCTTGGCCTTGTCCCTGGCGATCGGGAGCTCCAACGCCTCAAGTACTGCGGCCGGCCTCGCGATGACTACAGCAGCCAGCTCTACCATCTCCGCCGAGTGGGACATTATCTACCGCGTGACGTCGCCCGCGTAGATGTCCACCGTGATCCTGAGCCCGCTCTGGGAGGCGCTGAAGATGTCGAACGGCATCATCATGGCCAGCTGGAGGAGGTACATCGCGATCGTGCAACCAGGTAGGGCACCAGCCGTGGTGCGGACCGCGTAGGAGTAGGTCGTCCCCCAGCGGATCCTCTTGAGCGCCATATACATGGAGAGCACCGCCCTGGGGACATCCGTGGGGAAGCCGTAGTACTGCGCCGCTCTGATGATCTCGATCCACTGGAGCTGGTCGAAGCATTTGCTGATGGCCACCAGCGTGGTGATGACGGCTTCGCCCTCTGTCGTGTCCGTCGCCTCGGCGTCGACCATGGTGCGAGCTCCCACCTCAATAGTTGATCTCCCCGTCCTTCATGCAAAATATGGCCTGTCGTCGGCCGCCATCCATCTGCGGATGTGGCCTATGCGCGCCTTGGTGTAGACCCTGTAGATGGAGGGAAGGAGGGCGATCGGGCGGAAGCCACCCTGCGCCTTCGTGAGGGGCATCACGTGCACGGCCATGATGGTCAACGGCCATCTCCCCCGCGACTCCGATGCCCATGGAATGTAAATCAGCATTGCCAGCGCATCGTCGGACAGGATGGAGTAGGCGCGGGGGGGGGGGCATAGCGTCCACGCCCAGGCCTGTCTTCCAAGCGAAAGCCCTGGAGGCCGCTCGCATCGCGTCAATCCTCGGCACGGGGAGGGCGTCCCGCGGGAGGCTGCGAATGAGCTCCGGCATCCCGCCGTCCATGTCGATGAGGTGTTCTACATCATACTCATTGGCAGTGGCCATCCGCTGGGGGCACTGCCCCCTGTCGAGGTCATCATGGACATCCTTGATGACAGTATCCTGGTCTGGCTTCTGCGAGAGCACGGTGCCCTTGCAGATGTCGCTCCAGGGGTCCATTCGAGCGTCAGCCACCGCCTGAGGAAGTGCTGCGCGCATGCCAAACCTGTCCACTCCGTTGTGCGCCCAGCCCTTCAGCCTAGTCATGGCGAAGACTGGCGAGGCCCCCGTGATCATGGCGTCCTGGGCCCACTTGTGGAAGCTGATGGTGCGGCGCTTGGCCGCCTGCCTCCCGAGGTGCTCAGCGCGGGCATCCACGGTGGCCGCGCACGCGCTAACCAGCACGGCGAAGTGGTTTCCCGTCCGCATGACCGCATAGTGGATCATGCCCCAAGCCGACTCAAGTAAGATGATCCCCTCCTTCGCGTGCAGGTCCTGCCGATGTCCAGGTCGAAGTGCTCTCGTGAGCCGTGCCCGTCGCATCCGAGAGTCCGCGCCGTGCTCCACCGAGTAGACGAGGTCATGCAGCGCGAGTGCCAGGCTGCGCATGCAGCGCGCCTCCGCGCCCGCCGCTGGTCTGCCAGGTTTGGCGGGGGGCCCTCCGACAGGTCGCCAGGCATAGGCGGGGCGAGCTGCCCGGCCGCAGCAGCGCCCCGCGCCCTGCAGCTGATAGATGTGGCAGAGATCCTGCTCCATGAAGGTCGTGAAAGTGGCGTGCATCGCGTCCAGGCGCTGCTGTCCCTCCTCTGCGCCCTGTGGGTGTCCGCGTCCAGAGTCAGCCTGCACCACCTCGATGCATGGCT